AAAAAAAGTATATTTTATATATACATATTTGTTATATAGAAATAGATATAAATTTATATAAATATTATATACATAAATGTGTGTATATATGTATATGTATGTGTATATATATATATATTTTTTTTTATTTTTATTTTTTTGATACGGAGTCTTGCTCTGTCGCCCAGGCTGGAGTGCAGTGGCGTGATCTTGGCTCACTGCAACCTGTGCCTCCCCAGCACAAGCAATTCTGCCCCAGCCTCCCGAGTAATTGGGATTACAGGCACAAGCCACCATGCCCGGCTTATTTTTGTATTTTTATAGTACAGACAGAGTTTCATCATGTTGGCCAGGCTGATCTTGAACTCCCGACCTTATGATTCGCCCACCTGGGCCTTCCAAAGTGCTGGGGTTTGAGTCCTGATTTCACTACTTCCTTACAAAGTCAAGTCTCAATCTCTGAACCTCAATCTTCTCGCTCCTCAGAGATGCTCGTAGATGCAGTAGTATTTTGTTGGGTCAGAGGAATTTTAATGTAATCGAATTATACTTGAGCTATTCTGTTAACATGTTTCAAGGAGATAAATAATTGATGGCCTAAACATGAAGGTCTGTATGTGGGAACTGGTGATCTCACAACAGAGGGAAGTTTAGGAACCCAGGAGGCGGATGACAGAGGACAAAAGTATGGAGGATTTGAGAGATGGAGGGAATGACAGATCTAAGCTAGTAATAAGCTGATGGAGATGGAAAGAGCTTAGGCAGTCATCCCATAAGAAAATCATTAACCCCAAAAGCATTATCTCATTTACCCCTTAAAACAACCTTGTGGAACATATACTATAGTTGCCATTTTAGAGCTAAGATAATAGCGAGTCATAGGAGTTAAAGATCTGCCTAGTCACACAGTAAGTGTCAGAACTGGTTTCAACCCAGGTTAGTCTGAAGTTTTTTGCCACACTGCCTGAAGAGTCTGGTTTCAACCAGGAGTACTCCTAGAGGAGAGATAATGATGAAGGAAGGGTGGTAGAAAAATAATTCTATGAATAAGGTAATAAAATACAGTGACCCAAAGGATCTGGCTAGGTAAGGTTAATCATGTGGATAAAGAAACAGAGAGACCTAGAAAACACTGAGTAAGATTTAAATATGCTACCTTTACCTAAAATTTTCAGAACTGCCCTATCATTTCATGAATGCCACAACTGAAGGTCAAGAATAAGAAAGATGAGAATATAGTTAATTGTTCTCATCTTATTGTAATTTTGGAAGAGGAAAAAAGAACAAAAGAAGTGAGTGAAGAAAGCAAGAACTCGTGATCAATATGGAAGGGCAAAGGAGCTGAGTTATAGGACAATCTAACATCCTTTCAGGCTGGAGACAAAGTAAGGAAAAGGGAAATGAGCAGAAGAGAGTGAAAGGAAGAAGGGGAGAAAGGAAAATTGGAAAATTATTGGAAATAGAGAAGATAAGCCTCAATATGAGGAGGAAAGAAGAGAAAAAGAACATGATATTCATTCATTAGTTTCAGATAGTTTAAATGAAAAGACACGATTGGGTAAATTTATTCAAATGGTTACGTCCTGAGACAGCTTAGTCCCAGGAATTACTTTGCACTAGAACCTATAGTAACAAAACAGAGATATTATAATTTATTTTATGACACATCGCTTAATATATACAGTCATCCCTTGGTATATGCCAGGGATTGAGTCCAGAACCCCAGAGTACATAAAAATCTGTGCATACCCACATCTCATAGTCAGCCCTGCAAAACTTGCATATACAAAAAGTCAGCCCTCTCTGTACTCAGGTTTCCCCTGAATAGTGCATTTAATTTAATTATTATTATTTTTGAGACGGAGTTTTGCTCTTGTTGCCCAGGCTTGAGTGCAATGGCATAATCTCAACTCACCGCAATCTCTGCCTCCCGGGTTCAAACGATTCTCTATCTTGCCTCAGCCTCCCAAGTACCTGGGATTACAGGCATGTGCCATGACATCGGCTAATTTTTGTATTTTTAATAGAGACGGGGTTTCTCCATGTTGGTCGGGCTGGTCTCAAACTCCCGACCTCAGGTGATCTGCCCGCCTCGGCCTCCCAAAGGGCTGGGATTACATGCGTGAGCCACTAAGCCCAGCCTATTATTATTATTATTATTTTTAAGACAGAGTCTCACCTAGTCACCTAGGCTGGAGTGCAGTGGCGCATTCTTGGCTCACTACAGCCTCTGCCTCCCAGGTTCAAGCAATTCTTGTGCCTCAGCCTCCCAAGAAGCTGCGATTACAGGCATGCGCCACCATGCCCGGCTAATTTTTGTATTTATTTATCTTTTTTGAGATGGAGTCTGGCTATGTCACCTGGGCTGGAGTGCAGTGGCCAGATCTTGGCTCACTGAAACCTCCACGTCCCAAGTTCAAGCTATTCTGCTTCAGCCTCCCAAGTAGCTGGGATTACAGACATGTGCAACCACACCTGCCTATTTTTTCTATTTGTAGTAGAAATGGGGTTTCACCATGTTGGCCAGGCTGGTTTCTAACTCCTGACCTCAGGTGATCTGTCCACCTTGGCCTCCCAAAGTGCTAGGATTACAGGTGTGAGCCATCACGCCTGGCCTGAATATTGTATTTTTGATCCTCATTTGGTTGAAAAAAAATCAGCATATAAGTGGACCCATGCAGTTTAAGCCTGTTTTTCAAGATTCAACTGTATAACCTTTTCCTAGGCATCCACTTTCCCAAGGAACCAACTGTCTTTGTGTGTTCAGGCTGCTATCACAGAGTACCATAAATTGAGTATCATATAACCAACAGAAATTTACTTATCACCATTCTGAATGCTGGAAAGTCCAAGATCAAGGCAGATTCAGTGTCTGGTGAAGGTCTGCTTTCTGGCTTATAGATGGCACCTTCTAGCTGTGTTTTCACATGGTAGAAGGGACAAGACACCTCTCTGGGGCCTATTTTATAAGGGCATGAATCCCATTCATGAGGGCTTTACCCTCCTGATATAATCACCTCCCAAAGGCTCACTTCCTAATACCATCCACCTTGGGGATTAGGGTGTCAACATATGAATGTTGGGGGACATAAAACATCCAGACCATAGCATCAATTTGTATGAAAGTCTCTTTGGGCCCAGTGGGGTGGCTCACACCAATAATCCCAACACTTTGGGAAGCTGAAGCTGATGAATCACTTGACCCCTGGAGTTCAAGACCAGCCTGGGCAACATGGTGAAACCCCTTCTCTAGGTGTGGTAGTATGTGTCTATAGTCCCAGCTACTTGGCGGGCTAAAGCAGGAGGATTGCTTGAGCCCAGGAGGTCCAGGCTGTAGTGAGTCATGTTTGAGCCACTGCAATCCAGCCTGGGTGACTGAGCGAGACCTCCCGACTCAAGTGATCCTCTTATGCCATGTCTTATTAACATAAATCAGGGTGGTGTGAGGGGATCTTTTATATGTGTGTATTGGTTGGTTATACCAAAATTTTCAGTAACTATTAAGGGTAGTGTTAAACAAACAAAAAAAAGCAAAGTGTTAATTTTTTTTCT